CGGGGCATTGAAAAGGTACCGAGAGTAACACCAAGGAGTCATGCTGCATTTAATTGGTTATTTCGGGTTGTACAATATTTACCAAATGCTTATCTCACATGGCAAAAATCGAATTTCCTTGTTCGTCTTGCCTATTAAAACAAATCCTTATCTACAATGCTCTGTTCTATTGATCGATATTTTTAACTAAGAAGGAGTGGTCTTGCTACTACAGTGCATTTCTTCTCGCTGATTGAGAAATCAAGCTGATTTCTTTTTATCACCTTACGAAGCATATAGTTTTGACGCAGCTTCTTACTTGTTAGAGTCTTCTCATTTTTATGAGCTTACCACTGCAAAATCTTGATTAAGAGATATCTTACCCCCCCCCCCCTCTATTCAAATTTCAGTTAATAACGTGCAGGATCTAGAATACGGTCCATATATTCACTTTTATCGAAATGACCGTTTCTATTTTATCTGAAGGCATTTACAAAAGTTCCTTTTTCCATCTTGCACATATTCTAATTCAATTCCCTGTTATTCTAAATGAATGTGTATGATTTGCGATGTTGCAAAACTTCGAATTTTTATATATCTTTTCCGATTTTGACCGCCCTCACTACTCTTTACTGACGTTACGTTTTTTCTGTTTGATTTCGGAACTGTTTCTATTCTACGATAAAAATGATTGCACCATTGGCCAACTTTTGATTTGCGAACCAATAAGGAAAAAATCACACAGAATGACAGCATTTGTTTCATGGGATCTTTCCGAGCATGTTCCCACCTTTTTAAAAATTGTTAATAAAATAAAAAAAAATCTTTTCAATATCATTTGGTCTTCTAAAAAAGTACTGCTAAACAAACTTTTGTATTAATGCTACATGAATAAACAGATTTGGCAAACCATTTTTTTCTATTTGGGAGTACTACCCTAAAGCTAATTATTATTGTTGGTATTTTAAATACAAGGGAAATTAGTTGCCGAAAAATTTTATGTTTCCTTTTAAATACGATTAGTGTTTCGGTGAACGTCGGTTATTAATGAATATTTATTTATTTGTATATAGTTCTCATTACCCCTTTAGTTGGCTTCAGACTTCAGAGAGGGGAAGGAACATCAAAGTGAAAAAAAGTCGAGGGGGGAACAGAAGAGTGTTTCAAAGATGTAAAAGTGACAGACACAAAGGTAGGAAAAAGGTGAGGTGAGTACTGTGGAAGTAGTCGAATATGACATACAGTGGGGTCATGGTAGTTTGAAATTAGATGTCAACTGCCTGTTTATATACCTTTTTCCTTGAGTATATGTTGCCCATGGTGCACCACGTGGAAGTAAGTCTATCGCACGCCCCATATTAATGAAAATAATGTTGTGCTCTTAAATAATATGAATGTGTTGAAGAAATAGCATTAAAAAAGCATCTTGAAGAAAGCATTAATTTCTATCCACTGGTAACCTGCTGTTTTACATGCTAGAATGGAAATAACTTGGCAACTAAACCATTTTCTTTGTTGATATTTTTAACAAAATACTATGGCATTAGAAATTAGAGCACAATACTTGAACCATTGCACGCACTAGCTCGATTCCAAATCGCCAAGTATGACTCGCAAGCAGCGGCAATGACAGCAATCTTTTTTGCAAGCTGTCGCGTCTAGTCGAATCTAGCGCGTGGCGTAGGTTTTAATCTTGAACCAATTAAAAGTGCCAAAAAAGGCCCTCTAGCTCGCAATACCGCTAGCATACCTTTATCCATCCAGTGTCGCTAAAAAATTCGATTAAACCATGCTTATCGAAGTGTGTCGCTGTGGAAGGGACTCCTCAAGCGTCAATGTTCCCGATAATGCCACTGTCTCAGACCTCAAACGCGTCATTGAATTGCAAGAGAAGGTACCCTATGCGGAACAAACCCTCACTTTCAATGGGCTTATCCTAGAAGACAATAACCTCATATCTAAATACGGACTCTGTGATCAGTGTACCATTCTCCTTTATCTACGTCTTGGATTCCAACCTGATTTTGATCTCACTGTTAGTCTTTCCTCGAAAATGAAGGTTAATCTTAGAATTTCTGGGGAAGATACTGTTAGAGATCTTAAAAAACTTGTCGAACAGAAGAGTGGACTTAGTCTTTATGACACAGAATTGATCTACGATCATTGGGTGCTGGAGGATGACCGGAAGCTGATAGAGTATAATATATCTGGAGGCGCAACAATACTTGTGGTTCATGACCTAAATGACGGACCGGACTTCCAATTAGAAGACTCAGCGCAGGACGGACATGCTCAACCAGTTTCCTATTCTTCTCATCGCCGTCATCATCACAAGAATTCAATGTCTTCTTCTGACGAAGTCAATATTGAAGAGAATGAAAGTGGAAGTGAACAAAGCAATGAGGAGTTGATAACCGTAATATTCCTACCAAAGACCGGATCCCCAATTGCTCTAAAGGTTCATCCCACCACTCCTGTTGGAAAGGTCCGTGGAAAGCTTGCACAAATCCTTCACGTACCCTCCGGCGCTTTAGGGTTTGTGCGTGATGGAAAGTCATTAAATCCCTCCAGAACTTTCGCTCAATATGGAATTTCTCATGGAGAATCAGTGTGCCTTCTTTCGCAGGACCATGTTGTGGAGAATCCAAGGAGTAGGGTTTCTTCTGGACAAAAATCTCAAGAACCAAAGATTCGAATAGTCGTGCAATCGGCGAATGGCCACACTCTTGCCTGCCATGTTCGCAAAACTACTACAGTTGGAAATCTGAAGCAGCGTCTTGAGCGCGAACTTAATGTTTCCAAGTCTAAAATGCGTCTCTTCTATCATAAGACTATGCTAGCTGATGAATCTAAGATGAAGGATTGTGAGATCTCTGATGGGTGCGTAGTTTATCTTCGATATTGATGAATATTGTTTGTTTGTGATTTCTGCACTATTTCCTCCTTGTTTTGCTCTCTGTCGGTTATTTTTTCTCCTTTTATACCTTCATTTACGAATTTCTACCATGGAATGAATGAAATTGTGCTGTTCGTCCTAGTATTTACTTGGGCTATCTAATAAACAATACCCTAGATGATTTATTGGGTTTTAATGAATGCGATTGTTTTTTTTTCTTTCTTGAAATAATTTTGCTGCGCCATTTTCTAACTTCTCTGCTTGGGTGATGAAGCGTTTCTCTTATTATCTTGCGGTTGATTACGAAAATCGGTAGTTGCACCGTGCTCATTCATTTATGCTAAGTTAAAATTGTGTTAAGATAGATACAATCTCTATCCCCCCCCCCTCCCCCCCTCTCTCTCTCTTTAAAGTTCACTCCACGTGTAAATTACTCTGCGGACCCCAACCCCCACCCCCTCCTCCCTCCAACGTAGGTAATTTAATATGTGATAGTTGTGTCACTCTATACTTGTTTGCAGTTCTGGCAAGCACATTTTGAGTATTTTGACAACATTGAATGGCTATTAAGTTAATTTTACGTTAAGTTAGAAATTTTACTTAATTTTGACAATGCTTTAATGATGATTATAGTTGAAAGTGCAGGCCTCTCGTTCTGTATAGCAGTTGGCAATAATATTTGGGCTTTGTTCGTGGAAAAAATTCAATTATGACCTAAGACAAGGCAGGCCATTTACAATCTTTCATTTCAGGAAAGTGACTAATATTCAGTCAAGCGATAAGGATTGAAAGTTGTTGACATTGAAATTTAAGTATCAAGATTCTTACCTTATTTTTGGTTTTGTGTTGTGAAATATTTACTAAATGGGTAGTCCAAGTTAGTTTTCTATTCAATACGGGTCGAACTTACCACTTTAATCCAAAGGTTGTTTCAAAATTTAATTTGATTTTCGACGATTTGCAGATTAGCAGAACAGAGATCAAAAATGTTTCTATTTATATGTAAATTTTATCACCGCGAGTTGTGACCACCCCAGTGTGAGACATAATCGATATTTTAATTGAAATTCTTAAAATTTTATGAAAATATTATGATTCGTTTTTTTTTAATTTAACTGTTGAAATCTCTCAAATTAGACGAGAAACTTATCAATAGACTTTTATTGACACAATTCGCTACAGGGAGGTGGGGGAGAGGAGGTTGAGGCCAACGGTAGACCAGTAGGCATTAACTACAGGTCATTGCTCAAGCAATACTAACTCGCTTCAAAAGCATTCAAGAGGGTTATTGCCAGAGTTCAAATAGTCGAACTGTTTAGGAGACGTGGATTAAGTAATTATTTATTAAAGAATTAAAGAGAATAAAGATCTGTTAGCTCTACAGCCAGTGTCATCATCTAAAGTGGTATAAGCTTATAATCGAACATACCTTGAGTCAGGGCTTCTCGATGCTACACTGTACTCATTTTAGGCTTGCGCGATGGTATGGTTACAAACGTTGACTACTTTTAACTCTTCAGTACCTTAGACAATAAATGAAATAATAGAAAAATTTGCGAAATCCGGTTTATCCTTTTTCAGTAGTTCGGGGAAAAGTTCTAGCACTTTTCCAATATTATTGAACATTGGTCATACTCGTTATAACACCTCCCTGAGTTAGAAAGATTTTCAAAACATTAAAATTTTTCAGCTTCTGACCAAACCTCAATTATCGACAAGATGGGAGACAATTAGATGAAGAAATTCCTTTTATTTATGATGGCTTTGTAATGAATATATGGATTTATATGTAAGACATGCATAAGAGCGTGCATCTTGACATGATCAGATTTTTTCAATCGTGGCAAACCAAAATCACGTGGTCTGACCCAAGCGTCTTATTGGGGGTCAACAGACACTTTGTGGGAAAATCGGTCTAGATTTTTAGCCTGCACTCAGCAAATTTCCATTCGTATCTTATTTTATGTACAATCTGCGCACCACCTCTGCAATTACTCAACAATTATTTGGAATCTTAACACTTCTCATGTGAAAACTGTTAATTCCATATGGATTCTAAATTAAATTTGTTAACTTTTTTATTATATGTTATTTTACTTGAGTAATAGATGGTTTTGTAAAAAATGTATCAATAAATGCTTCCGCTCTTTCTGCTGAGATGGTCATTGCAATGGTTTTTGAGGGCCTATACTCAAGGTCCCAAAGTTTCGAAATTTATGAACACTTTATGTATTTCGCAACATTTACAGTAAGGGACAATGCAACTCTTGAAAATATAATTAGAATTACGAAAAAATACGCATTGAACAAAAGGGATACTCAACCACATAGAGTTCAGTTAAGTCGGCTGTATTTGAGCGCCAGTTCTGTATCTTCATGGTCTTCAATCCAGTTCCTGCAGGCAGAGAAGTGGGAAGTTATTCGAGCACTAGGGGTAGTTAATCCAATAGGACCCAAGACGTTAACAGTAGTGTCAACATCAGGATCATCTAGCTTCTGAGGCATTTTTAACTCCTTCATTCCTCTTAATCTTCCCGTTTTTATGAAATCGGCAAACGCTTCAAGTAAGATGTCCGTTGGATATCCTTTCTCGCTTTCCCCGGAAAGAAAAGGCGGAATATCATATTGCCGATTTGTAGCTTTTTCAATCACCTTAGGTGGTTTTATTTCACTTATAATCTTGTATATTGCGCCTCGTTGGGATTTTTGAAAACGTGCTCGACGCCTTAAGTACGCATAAATCAAACAATCCACGCGAATATCGTCTATTAGCGCATTCATAATTGACGAAAATTTTGTCTTGTCTAGGGACATTTTCAATTGATTTACCATTGGTTCATAGGACTTGACTAATTCTTCGGCAAAGTTTCGTTTAATATTCACCGAAACTATGCCAGAAAAGGCGGTTTTGGCTTTGAACTTCAGGCCTTGAATAGAAATAGTTGAAGGCGGAGGTGGATTTGCATTTTTTAAGGTAGATATCCAAACAATCGGCATTGGTCTAATTGGCTCAAGATTAAATGGCGTTGTGACACGAGAAACATTAACGTCAGCTATAAGTAAGGAATCTCCCAAATCTTCTCTCTTGCTGGGAAGAGTCTGCATTCGTTTATCAGCATTTATCCATTGAGATGGAGTCTTACTTAACCAATTGGTCTCATTAACACTATCTTCCAGGCATATAGAACGAGTTGCTAAAGCACTGCTCCCAACATTTTTGATGCGAGTTTCTAACAACCATTTTTGGCACTTTGAGATGAGCTCAATATTGCCCAGCACCAGAGAGTGGAATGGTCGTTTATCCGATGGAAGTTCAGGGACCGCCAGCGTACCCTCATGTAGCCATAACTTCGATACTAGATAACGGCCCTTTCTAAAAATAAATTAAATATCTACTGATGATTTATAAGTACCAAATAACGACATATTTAGAAATGGGGAGTGTATAGATGAATATGGCTGAATTAATATCGATTAATTGCTAAATTCACATTCCACGCGTTTATACCTAAAATTTATCAATTAATTGACATTCTACATTAAATGAATATTTCAAATGCTTGATCAAACAAATGTCAATGAGTTTACGGCAAAGGCAGCATGATCACTAGGATTGAGAAATAACTTTAACACCTGCACTGTAGTACCGTATTGGCAAAGCTGAAAGATCCTTTAAATCAAATTCTAAATGCTTTTTGTTAAAGCTTTGCACTTATTGAAATACCAAGGGATCGCGCGGTCATGTGTAGCGTAGGCATAACCATCTGTCACCCAGAGGGAATAAAATGCGAGTCCCATGACCGACCGCTCTCTATCTCCTACTTCGGCTATAAATGAGAGCGGGAGCCACTAAAAAGCATCTGTCATAAATCAAATGCACTGTGTCTCCAGTTGTTGGAACTTTTACTGTTTATAGAATTGTACAACTTCTTTATGTCTCTCAACCTATTTCTGGTTGGATAGAGAGATGCAACACTCTAAGCTCACAATCGAGTGGGTAGAAAGTTAAGCCTTTTTTTGCAAAAATATGGCACATTAAAATCCAAAATAAATAGTTTCAGTATTTTCTAAATAATAGTTACCCAGGAAATTTATGTTAGACTGTTATTGTATGCAGCTGATAGTTAGAATTGAATGCTAAAGTAACTATTTAGGATATGGAAGTAAATCATTGCATTTCAGTTTTGCTAAGCAAATATTTCCCCATGACTGATATAAAATTATTTTAGGGTCATATGGATTAATTGATAAGTAAAAATTAATAGATGAAATATTTACATATGAGGTGCTCATTCGTTTTCTTATTACCCCGTCGATTGATCTAATTCCAAGTTCGTCACAGTAAGGAAGGTATGATAAAATGATAGATTATATTTCATTCAAATTAATAGTTAGTGAATTTCAAGGTTTTTTCCATGTAGTGATATAAACATCTCTTGAGGAGCTTGATAAATACACTTAATAGAATGTCATCAATGGTTACCTGACAGCTTGTATCGCTTTGACGTAAGTCAGCGAAGCCACGAAAGTGCTGTTTACTACCGTGATTTAAAAACTAGAATATTAGCTCCTCAATGTGATCTTCCTAGTTCTATTCTTTACAGAAAAAAATGGCCTTCAATTCATTTGTGCTTATCTTCTCCCAGTCATCGCTGTGATGGCCTCAGAAATGCAAATGGATTTATAAATCAAATGCATTTTCCTGGAGCCATCATAAAATGAGCATAAATTACCTTTGGTATTTTGGTAATTGTATGCGTTTCCAGGCCTCAACTTAATTTGAGATTCAAAAATTCGCCTTTTCTGATTTTGATGAAAATTGACTGCGTTTGCTTCGTACTGAACTGATCGATGAAATACCATCTATGTCTGTTTTACCGATTAATATTAGTCAAGAAGAAATGTCTGATTGCGATTTTCTCAAATGGAACTTCTATAATTACAAGCGAACGCTCTCCTTCGATGTAGATTATGAAATTGAATTTGAGATCGGCAAACTGGACACGAATATTTGTTATTATTTGTATGAAATATTCTATTAACATTTATTTAAAATAGTATAAGTAATGCTTATCTCGAGCCTACTTGCAGTGTCTAGACGTTAGAATTCCAATAATGTGGTCTCTATGTAATGACAGTTATGTACTAAAAGGAGATTCAATTCCAAAGGAATACCAGAATATGGTAATCGAATTTGAGTTTAAAAGAGAAATTGACTTTAAGTGGCTGTGCTTGTCACGCTCGTGTTCATCTTCTCAGATGACACGGGTTCTAAGTACTAATAAGTTCCTTAACTCTCCCTCCGATTAATAATGACCTAACTGAGATGCCTTCTAATGGAGGAGTTCTTTCAAACCTAAATAAATGTCTAGGTTTAGATACCTTTAAGTCCTCATTAATAGGTCAAGTTAAACAAGCATAGTAGAGAACGAAATTTAAGCGGAAGAAAGAACTATCAAAACCCGGGAAAAGGAAGAGGAATGTGTCATTTCTCTTCTCCTTCAAAGAATTAATCTTGATTCTCAATGAAAAAATTATTTTATACTTAAATTGAAATAATATTTGCTTATTTAAATGGCTTCGAGTTGAACCTTTACATAGGATGGACAATGAACCAAGTAAACATGGAAATGTTCGAGAAATTATATGGTCCAGAGTGACTAAAGTACCGCCTTCAAGATTGGCAGAGCTGTTAAAGTACCGAACTAGCACCGTTTTCTGTTAACAAGAAGTTTCATAATAGCCTAAGGCTTAGCTCGAAGCCATTTAATTATAACCTTAAATGTACCCAAAGTTAGAATTTGGAAGAAAGTACTTGAGGGTATTCACCAGGATCATAGTTTGCAAAACTTTTTTTCTAATAGTGAAAAGTGAAACTACCTACTTGGAAGTTTTGCAGCCTATGGAACTCATTTGTTTTACAGCGGAGAACTAGTGGGCAGTGTAAATTGTTCTGCGATTAGAACCTTACCGCTAATTTTTATGATCTGTTGCACTACTAGAACCCTAAATTTAATTAAGGCTTAGTGAAATTACGCGTTTCCCCACCTTCTATAGCTAGTGAGAGATTTTTAAAATGTACATCTCATGAAAATTTGAAAATATATTAAACCTCTGCTAACTAAATTTAGAGATTGTTAATATTGTAATAAAGCTATGTAAAATTCGGAGAAATTTCATGATTAACAATCCTTTGTCATTTGTTGAAAATTTAAGATCAATTTAAATTGCTGTTCTTGTTCTATTTGTATTCATTTTTGTCTGTTGAAATGGGATTAAAGGTATCGTATTTGTCAAAATCAATGCACCGATTTGCGGTTATATTTAAATTTTTTCAAGCTCAACTGTCTTTTCAGCTTTGGAAATGCATCTCTCCATATTATTACGAGAACCTTCTCTTTTCTCAGTCAAAGGTCAAGAGACTTAATAGTTCATTAGAACGGTCTCTTAAATGGATTTCAATAAAATTTTTTTGATTACAAGGTGATAACCTACTAATTCAAATGTATGCACCAACTTACTTACACTACTAACTTTTCCTAACTAGCTGGGATGGCCATATAAGTAGACTGCCAATCGAAAGCTTTGAATGTTAAAGGCCTATCCTAGAAGATCTTAACTGCCAACTCGAGTATTTCCAAAAATGGAATTCGGAGGAGAGATTTAGTACCTCTATCTGGTAGGTACAAGTGTGAACTCTCATTTGGAAATTTATTTGCCATATAGTAATCAGAGACAGCCGAGTTAGGTTGTGGATGAAAATGAGTCAAAAATATTGGAGCAGAATAGAATTAGTAGGTACTCAAATCATATCGATTCGCGTGGTCACAATCTATTGGATGCCTGGGTTTTTGACCTATACAATTTATGCTTTATTCAGGCCAGTCTTGAAACGTTCAGCAGTTATGGAAAAATACTCTTAGTAAATTCCAATCCACTTTTCATGAGAAAAAGAATTTACTTCTCGAGGCTAAGATTCACTTGATTCATGGGTTTTGAAAAAGTACTTGGTGCTACTTGAAATGCACTTACATCGGAAAAACGACATCAAAACATTTTGTACTTAATGTAAAGATAGTTGAAAATTAATCTACAACAACGAGTACTGAAACTCCAGAGCCTAAAACTGAGTGTAAAGAGGTGCAGTATTTTCCCTTCTCTACCTAGTTTAAGGACTAAAACGTTCTCAAACTCGGAGATGTGAGAAAATATTTCCCCTTGTCCAAGCTTGAGTTCCACTCGAAAAGGGGCATTCATTTTCTTTCAGAACGAATGAGCAAATGCCTTTTTGGAACATTTTGCTTAATCAATACACCTTAATTATCTTCTAAATGTGGTTTTATTTATTAATTATCCACCCAACAGACATTAAATCTAAGGTAGCATAAAAGGTGTGTCCTAAGGGCGTTTAAACTGGATATTTTCTAATTGAAGAAATTTTATCATGTCATTTTTGCACTCAATACCTCCTGTTATATGTGGAATATGTGATAAAAGTGGTGCTAAACGTTATTTATTAACTTTTCATGACTTTGAGCCTTATCTTATCTTAAACTTCTCTAATAAACAATTTTAGACATCAACTTAGCTTATTGAGTTTCCTGTTAGGAAAATACCATGAAGAACCTAAAATCCAACCAACTAGCGAACTATCTGGTTCTATTTTTGACACACATATACAGTTCAGCTGAACACTTGTTGTTGCTTAATTTTAGGTTAATAAATCTCTATATGTGCTGTCAACCATATTTTTTTTATAATGTTAAATAACCTGTAAAATGGTAAGCAATATGAGTGATCTATCACTGAAAGTAGGCGAATATCGTTTTAATCGATAGATGATTTAGCAGATGCGTTCTTAGTAAGCTCACGTCCAGACGCAAGAGAGAAGAAGAGAAGTAGCATTTAATCGCTTCCTACTCACGTAGACCAACCGCCTGTCGCATTTTTATGAGGCAGTGACGAGTCACAGCCTCACCCAGTCAGTGCCTCATATGCGTGTGAGTGTGTGGAAACGCTTGGCGAGTCTCAAATATGAACTAAAAATTTACCGGTCACTACTATGTGAGAAAGAAGAGTGTGCGGCGTGAAATTGGGTCACCTTAGGCAGCATTTCTTTAGCAATTTGTTAAATTTAAACCGCCATAGGTGGAATAGAGCTCTTCTGCTAACAAACTGTTAATAAAATTCGTTAGCCAAACGACTGTCACAGCACTTTCGCTCTGAAGGCTGAATTGAGGAGAAATTGGAGCTAATGGAAGTGGGAACTTGCTTCTTCTCTTTTGCAGGCTTACAAATTTTAAAAAAGAGCTATATATCAGCCAGTCGCTTTAGCAAACTATCTTAATTAACGACTACCCAAAAATGCGATCTTTTTTTGGAAGTTAGCGTGCTTAATGTCATTGAGTGTTTTCATTTAGAGGGAGGGAACTAAATGGTTTCTGACATTAATTAATGACTAGGAGTAGGAAAGAAGCGAAAATGCATAACTCTAGGCCTACCCTAAACTAACATTTATTTACGCGGCTACATTTGCAGAATAGGTGAAAAAAACTGCATTTATCCGTGTTCTATAGAACAGGCAGTGGAAGTGAAAGCGATCAACCTAATTTTGAAATGTAAACAATGTAATCTTCCCCCAAATGGACTACAAATATTGCCTGAACTCTCATGTCATAAAAGTACCTCCAGTCAGTAAATTACCAGAATGCTGCAATTAATGAGTCACTTAATTAACAGAATCAGAAAGATCAACGAGAGTCAACGGAACCTGTTCATACTCGAGTATTCAATTCAATGAATCTAAACCTTGATTAAAAGAATGTGCCTCTTTAATGAAGAACATATAAGCACAACCTTTTAAAGTAGTCTACGCTATTATATTAATATATGTCATAATATTCCTAAATTGAAAGGGCATCCGTAATCCCCCTGCAAATGGTTAATGTATTTATTTATACCAAATGGCAGGCGTTTTGATAGTTATCATTAGCCCTTTAGTTGACTTCAAACTTCATAGAAGGGAGGAATATCAAAATGATAAAAAAGTCGAGGGGGGGGGGACAGAAGAGTGTTTCAAAGATGTAAAAGAGACAGACATTTTGGGAAGAGATATAGCTTCTGAAATCACATTCAAAAACTCGGAATGCATCAACTTGATCACGTTTAAATATCCTCGGGGTATTAATAATCATGTTCATAGGTGTAAAATGCTTTGTTGTGGTCAACACATCAATGGTGGATAAAAAGGGTTCGTGGGTATTCGAAGGCCCTTGGTGATATCTCTCTACCGATGGGGGAGTGTTGAAAATTGCCTTCCTAGATGAGCTGGTTGTTTAGGATTACACAAACATTTATTTATTTATCTCAAATGGCAGGGGCGTTGATAGTTATCATTAAACACAAAGTCAGAGGAAAGGTAAGGCGAGTACCTTGGAAGTAGTCGAATATGACATACAGTGGGGTCATGGTAGTCGGAAGTGAGAAGTCAACTGACAGTTAATAGACTTTTTGCCGTATGAGTATACGTTGCCCAAGGTGCACCACGTGGAGGTAAGTCTATCGCACACCCTCCCCCTGCTATTTTAAAAAATAACGTAGAAACATATTATCATAATAGGAGTTATATATCTCCTAGGGACTTCCTTGATATTTTGTAAGGAATGTGAATATTTCCCTAATTTAAATCATAAACGAATTTGAACAAATCAACTTTGCAAGATTTCTAGCATACTTTTCACAATTCCTATTTTAGTTCTTAATTATAAATTAAATCAGATACCACTGTCACAGTTGAATTAAAATGGTGTAATTTGTGATCATTAGCATTGTAAAGTTAGTCTAATGGAATTCTTATTCTAATAAATGAAGCAAATCTGCTACTTACGTATTATTGCTTGTTGCTTCGGGGGGTTTGAATCTATCGTTTCCAAGTTGCATGGCAATAGAGGCACCCGAGTTTTCGCCAATGAGAGTTAAGCCCTTCGGGGTGCCCCCAAAACGTAGTGCGTTTTCGTGGATCCATTGAAGAGCCTTCCTAACATCTTCAACACCATGATTTGGTCCATATTCATCCGTATCGAAGTCACCAAATCCAAAAACTCCTAAACGATAGCGAACGATTACGTAGAAGATGTCAAGTTGTTTAATCAAATTGATTGGAATTAGCTTTGGCTGGTGGGTTAACAATCCTCTTCCACCAATATAAACTACGGTCGGTTTTGGAATATCAGGCTCATATCTCCTCCGTGTTCCTGACATATTAGCAGCATTCCGTAAATTAAAATAAAAGCTCAATGTTAAACAATTGGCTACATTCGATGACTCATTCACCCTTTCTCGACCAATTTGGATGCAACTGGAATTCGAGGCCTTCCCTAAAAAACGAACTTCCCCATTTACAAACTGCCGTTTAGAAGACGGGACATTCACCCAAAAGCCTAAGTAACATTCTGCGAATGTGTTAATATGTTTAGGAGAGGCGAAATAGGCTCGTTTTCTAGGCAGTGTAGCGTAAGGGAGACCGTCTATTAGATACCAATCCTCTTTACCAGTATATTCAGGATAAATTACCGCACAATCTGTTTCGTAAAAGACAGCTCCTTCTTTGTCTTTAGTATGTAATGTAGGCAGAGTGTGGCGCAAGACCCATGTTTGCAAATATGCCCGATATATTAAAGTCATTAAAAGGACCAACAAGTGGCAACAGACTATTACAACTAGCAGTATCCATAAAATTTCAAGTTTTCGAAGACGCCTTTTGTTTCTAACTTTCCACCAATTCTGCCAGTCATCGCGGCTTGGTAGTAACTTCTCTACATCCAGTATGGTGCGTTTTGAAAGTTTTGGATAGATTGACTGGTCTTCCCTATATAATACCTCATAATCTGTAGTTTCTGTATTTGTCACCTGTTCTCCCGCTTCTTGTCTCTTCATATGACTTTTAAGTTAAAAACTAATTCCTCGAATTAATCGAACAAAAAAACGATAATTAGTTTATTTCGTAATGTCGCTTGTATTCGATAAGTAAATTAGGAATAATGTTTAGTATTAGTACATTAAAGAACTAAATTTTAGAAATTCAAATAAAATTTTAACATTTAAAATTTTTGACCTTAAAATCCGTTCTCATGAGGCACACCTATTTTATTCTATTTTCTCAGAAATATTTTGTACTTTTTATATTATGCTTCTATACTATTCCAGGAAATGAAACTCACATTAGTAATAGACATTCGTCATATAATAACAACTTCTCTTTCTTTGTTCATTTTTTGTACTTATCATTTAGCATATGTGGAAATCGGACATTTTATTGAGCTATTTTAGAATATTTACTTTGGTTTTAGAAAGCCTAAATACGTTGGTACGTTATGAACTAGATATCGAGGATTTATTAGTTAGTTGAATTCCTTAGTCATTTAACCAGGACTATGATTTTTTTCACCTCTTGTTTATCTTGTTTTCTAATCACAAATCCGGAGCATAAATGGCCTCTAAAATAATTTGAATTCTTAATTTAAAAATCACATTTATTGAAGTTTTAGTCCTAAACTTGTGCGCAAACTTGTTTTTTAAAGCGGCATTATTTGATTGATTGATGCAAATTAGTCATCGTGCTTATGCTAAATTATTGTGAATCTTATTTTACTTTGATCAACTACTTATCTCATTAATCCTCAGTATTTGGAATTGAAATGTCTGATAAAATCAGAGCGTATGGATTTAAATAGATTAATGAGATACTGCATTTGTCCCTCTTCCATTGTCCTCTAGGAATGTTTTTTATTTGATTTGGACATTGTTACATTATTTACGTCAAGCCACCTCTATTGTCATATCTGCCTCCCTAACTCACAATATGGCAGTGGTTATCAAATCTGTATCTATTTAACTCAATTTTGTTTAAAGTAACCAGTCGATGTGAACTCGTGTTTTGAAAAAAAACGATAGTTTAGAAGAGAACTTGTTCTATTCGCAATTTCGATTTGACTGCCTTTGTTAGTCACCTCCCTAACGCTTAGTTACCTTTATCGTAGTCAATACCTGCCTCCACAGGCAACAGCAAGTTCTTTAATTTAAATAAACCGGGCTGATTTTAATCCACTTAACGTTTTTCATCTGCTTCCAATTAGACTTCGTGGGCCAGTGGTTCAAGCGGACTTTAAGTAGTGTTTTGTACTTAAGAGCTCAATGTGTCTCGTTTTGATATTCATACTAACACTAGCACTGTATTATTACCTTTAAAATTGGAGGTATATTTATTATCTTATGCGGCGATTAAAATGAAAATTAAATAATCAGATTAGAATGTATTAAAATGGAATAGATCAAATAAACATTTTCTCTGTGTTTTATCCTCTTTGACTGTTCGGTGGCATATGAAGCACCATTTATATGTCCATTTATCTAGCACTAGTTTATGAACACTTATTCTGGTGCCTAATTGCACGCGTAAAAAAAAAAAAAACCATTACAAATTTACCCTTGAATCTGTCTTGTTAACTTACATTAGGTTAACTGAAAGACGGTATCATTATAAGCTTTTAAACAAAAAGGATTAGAGCATGGCCATACTGCCACCATCGTGTAAGTGTCCATTTGTAGCATCTAGACTATGGCATACTATGGCTCAATTAACCCAGACACGGAAAGAAGATGGGAGAAGTACTATAACTCACTAAGTTTCTTTCTTCTTTTCCTATTAAAAGAGGAGTTATCTACACGAAGTATCGATCAGCTGTCTGCTTGGTTGGTAATTTTATACCGATCTGGACAATTTTGCGTATCCCTGTATCTGAGCGACTTACGCCCTGGGCAAAATTTAATGGACTCTGTTCAGGGCATCAGGCATATTATCCCTGTAATCTGTTATGGATCCAGCGTACTCTTCTTTCGCCCTAAAAGGAATTGCTACAAGATGCTTTCTTAGTTATTTTAGGTACGGAATCCATAATGACTGGGACCAGGTTTCCTTGTTATTGGCTTCTCGGTTGCCCTTTTTATTAAAGCTCAAAGCCGTGGGAGTGGGAAGGAGAAAGGAAGACTTATAGCATAAACGACCGTCTATTACCAAAATAAGTATTAAATGATTGGCTGCCCGGTTAGCCAATAATAGCAGCAACGGCTGCTCGGGCTGCAGGCAATCTTACATAACCAGGTTTGAGCGTGGGAATCCAACCAAATCGATAATCTACTGAGTGGTTGATGAAGTTAGCGAATAAAACGCAAATATCGGATTTGACATCCTAATCTTCTTTCTAGATCCCACGAAAACGTACAGCAGCTATTTTCACTATCCCATCTTTCGTCTGCTGCAACAAACAAATAAACAAAATAGCATTAAGTTCAAAAATGGTGCATAATAAAACAATTTTTTCCAAATTTTTATGAAATTAACAGAGCTAGAGATTTAGTTAGAATCAGTGGATATAGAGCTCTCGGAATGACTCAAAGGCCTGCTCAGTCTCCTTAGGTGATACACACCTACTAACTTATAGCTCACGGGTTGTGCGATAGACTTACATCCACGTGGTGCACCATGGGCAACGCATATTCATACGGCGAAAAAGTCTATTAACCGGCAGTTGACTTCTGACTTTAAACTGCCATGATCCCACTGTATGTCATATTAGACTACTTCCACAGTACTCAGCTCACCTCTTTTCTACCTTTCTACCTTCGTCTTTGAAACACTCTTCTGTTTCCTCCCCACCCCCTCACGACTTTCTTTCACTTTGATGTTCCTTCCCCTCTGTGAAGCCCGAAGTCAACTAAAGGGCTAATGATAACCATCAAAACGCCTGCCATTTGGTATAAATAAATAACTTATAGCTCACTTCCAACTCCTTCCACCTCCTTTCA